GGGGAGAAAATTGTGCAATAATGAAAGCCTTTTTTTCAAAGAGTAAAGCAAACTGGGGGGGGTGGGTAGGGAAGAAAATGTACACAATAAATTAATGGAAACCCAAGTTCTCTTACAAACTTTCATTAAAAACTCAATTAAAATAAGAAAAAATTTTAAAAATTCTGAATAAACATATTGCCAAATAAGTGGTGAGAAAAGAACAAAACACTGAACCTGAGGAACACAAAGTCAGGAATAAAAAGATGAGCAATGGAGACAAACCAGAAAGAAAATTCAGGCAGTATAAATATCCTGGAATCAAGTGAGTAAAGAAACCTGAAAGAGAACAAGGATGAGGGAGTCATCAATTATATCAGTGACAGTTCATAAGTCAAGTGAAGGCTAAGAACTAATCACTAAAAAAAACTAGCACAGAATTTCCAATGACATTGAGAACAATGTTCGACCTTGAGAACAATGTTGGAAGAGATATGGGGCAAAAGACTAACAGGAGCAGGTTTTTAAAAAAGAAAAATTTAGGAGGAACTGGATGTCGCTTCCAAAGAATTTTACAGAAAAAGATGAGGGAGAAATGGGGACAGTGTCTATGCAGCAAACGTGACACCCCTTTTCCAAGGAATGGCGTCTCCTAGCAACTTGTCCAAGTAAAAAAGATGAATCTTTGCCATCCTTGCCTCCAAGGAAAACTATGGCTGCACCTTTTCTAAGACATATTTGTTCATTCTTTTGACAGACCATGGAATAACAAGTATTCTTCTCCAACATCACAACTCAAAGGCATTGATTCTTCTGTCATCCTTATTCATTGTCCAGCTCTCCAATGCATAGCAAGTGATTGAAAAGACCATGGCTAAATCAGAAACCTCTTAGTCTTTAAACTGACATCATAGCTCTTTACTATTTTGGAAAGATCCTTGACAGTAGCTTTGCCAAAAGCAGCTATCTCCTGACTGCTGGTACCAAAAGTGTTGATTGTGGATCCATGTAAGATTACATCACTGACAGTTTCAATCCTTTCTCCATATATCATGATGTTGTCCAGCAAAGTAAAAATGTGATGAGGTAGAAAAAAGGCAGAAAAGGTCAGCAAAAGAGAGAAAGACCCCACAATGAAATGGATTGACACAGTGACTACAGCAACAGGCTCTAGTGTATCAGAGATTTTAAGGATGGAATAGGTTAGGGTAAGATTCAGATCTGTTGTTCATAGGGTCACTATGAGTCATACTCAACTCGTCCAGCACCTAACAACCACAGAGACATGGAGCAAGGAATTGAATCGAGGATAGGATAAGCAAGAGTAAATGATTTTTTGTTGTTGTTTGGGTTTTTTTGTAGGAGTTTCAAAGAAGAAAGAAATAGAAAATTTATATTGACAGAATTCATCCAGCAGGGTAAAAATCTGCTGAAGGAAGAGCAAGAGGGTAGAATAATTGGCAATGTACTGGAGTATACACAGGATGGGTTCTACAAGCCTGGAGAGGGGTTCTACTTCGAAAGAAACATAGAAAAGAGCATCATTCAGACAGGCAAGGAGGCACAGCATGTGCGTAGATGTCAGTAGGTAGACAGATGGAACAGTAGGAGTTTGTCGAACTTGTTTCTCAGTACTCAAAATTTTAAGAAAAGAAGGACGCAAGGTCATGAAGCAAACTGAAAACAGGCACAGAGGTAAAGTGCAAGAGAAAACAGAAGAAAGTATTAGGATGGACATTTAAGGAATTGAAGGAAGTGACCCTGCAATAGAGTGTGTGATTGCATTAAATGTCCACTTGAGGTTCACAGTCGTGAATTTAAAGCAAAAATCAGTCAGCACAGATGTATGGCTTTTCCCTTAACATAATACAATCTAAGAGCCCTGAGAGCAGAGTAGGTAAGCATTTTGTTGTTAACCAGAAGGCTGGCTGTTCTAATCTACCAGCCATTCCATGGGAGAGACAAAACAGTTTGACTCCATAAAAGTTTCACAATCCTGGGGGAGCTCTGGTGGCCTAGTGGCAAGGAGCTGTAACTACAATCCCAGAGGCGCACAGTTCAAATCCACCAGATGCTCTGCCAGGGAAGGAGGGGCAGTCTCCTCCTGTACCAGTCAGATCTGATTTGACGGTACACTCACACAAACATAAAAAAATAAAAAAAAGTTTCACAATCCTAGAAACCACATAGAGTAGTCCTACTATGTCCTAGAAGGTGACTAAGTCAGAATCAACTCGATTTCAACAGGTTTGATTTTTAATTATTGTTGTTCTATACAATCATATGGATACAGTAATAGAGTAAGGAGAGCGTTTCATTTAAACAAGGTTAAATTTTTGCAAGAAATATAGATATGCAAAGGAATGATGACAAAAACCAACCACAGAATTTAAGCAGGTAAGAAAAAGAGCATAAAACATGAAGATGCAGAATTAAGAGACTTGCAGTTTCGATAGGGGTCAAAGAATCTCCAGGGCAGGGAATGACCAGAAATATAAGCAGTAATAGGAAATGAAATGCCTATGGATGAAAATTATGGAGAAGATGTAGTTTGGTAATAAAATCTAAAATTAAAATAAAATTGAAGGAAAGATCTTCAATCTCACCAAGAGAGATTTTTTTCTTTTATTTTTTAGGCAACAGTGACATTCTAAAAGAGAGAATTTGTTGTGAGGGCTGTCTGTGAATTACTGGATGGTTAGCAGCCTTAGTCTACACCACTAGATGCCTGTAATAACTTCCCATGGGATATCTGAAAGGTGTTCAGACATTGCAAACATCACTCCTGGTTAAGAACCACCACTGGTGGAGAGGATGACTAAGGAAATGCATAGTTGAGGTAAAGGGAAAGACAAGATTACCAGAGCAGAGAACATTAAGGAATTGAGAAGTCAGAGAACTAGAAGACTTATGCATGAGTATACTGCCCTTGTTAAGAACTAAGACAGGAACAATGCTAGAGAGAATGACAGAGATAAGAAGTCATAACAGTTAAAAATTCAGGCAGATGTCAAGTGATGACAGTAATTAGGAGAAGTGGGTGACATGATCTAATAATGAGACTCAAAGCTGATGATACACCAAGCTTGACACTAAGTGTTGAAGCTGGTACTAGAACTTATGCTTTTTTCCTAAGGATTTTTTTCAGTGTCTAGAAGGTGGGCAGATACTTGCACATGATTTCATAATCAACTAAATTAGAATTACAGAGTAAAAAATAGGAGTGGATCAAAAATAATTGGCACCATTTCTGATTGCCATATAAAACAAACAGCTGAAGGCACATACTGGGAATTTTTGGCTGAATAACATCTTAAAAATAGGGCTTAGCATCTTGGTTAAAAATAACCCAAAACACCCAACTTTCTCAATTTTATTTTTTCATCCTTTAAATATATTATACTGCCTTTGAATAAAAAAAAATTAAGTTATTTCATTTATCTGTTTGTTACAGATCAATCATACTGATATTTCCCTGACATACACTATCTTCTTGATTTTCACACAATCTAATGACCAAGGAAGACAAAAAGACCTTAACATTAAATGGACTGACTGCAACGTTCTCCAACTGTGTGTCATCTGCTCCCCTCACTGCCACCTGGAAAAAGGCCTTCTCACCAGATTGCAAGATTATAGCAAATGCCTACTTTCCATTCCCACCTCCTAAAAACATATTCACAAGAAAACCACAGGCTGAAAGTAATAAATGTGCCCCTTTATAGGAGAAGCAGCTTCAGGAAAGGAAACTTACACAGTATTGTTAATAAGTTTTCTCAAATGTACTGTCTCATTTAACCAATTAAGCCTTTGGGCCACAAAGAAACTCATCAAACCTTGTGAAGACTCAGTGAATGCCAATGAGCTCATCTACAAAATTCTACCTTGTTAAAATTGTATTTCATTTACATTCTATAGTGCATAAACATGAAAAACAAAGGAGGTGTTAAGAAAGTACATGATGTGTTTGGAGTTGATCATCTAACCTCTGTTCAACTTTCCAAATTATGAAACATGATATTTAAAGCTCACATAAATATAAGGGTGAAATCCCCTCAAGTTCCAAACAGGAATTTGTCAGCTCACTACTGCTATAATTATTAGACTTCTGCGTGGTGCTATTATAATACGGAAATAATGACACCACTGTAAAAATTGTACCGGTCATATGGACCAGGGAGCTCTGGTTGCTTAGTAGTAAGGAGCTGCAGTGTCAATTCAAAAGCTGGTGAATCAAATTCACCAACTGCTCTGCGGGAACAAGATAGGCATTCTCCTCCTTGTATGATTTATAGCCTCTAAAAACTCACTGGAGGATCAGCTATGAGCAAATTCTGCCTCAATGACAAAACACAACAAATAAATGTTAATAAATGTGATCATTTCATTCACTGTTTCTATAAACTGGATGCCACCCTATTATGTTAAAGAATACAATAAGCATTTAGAGTAGAATTAAGATTTAAATCTTAGCTTTGAGACCTTTTAGCTATGTTACCTTAACTTAGCCTATCAACCACTGTGAATAAGTTTTCTATAACATGAATATTGTAACAACAGTACTTGTTTAACCTGTTGTTAATTAAAACCTAAATAAGCCTCAGCGAATAACCTCGTTGTCATGGAGTCTATTACTCATAATGACCCTATAGGACTAAGGAGAACTGTCCCCCAGGGTTCCCAAGCTATAAAATCTTTGCATATTTTTCCTTTCACATACAATATAAGCTCTCAATAAGCACCTCACAATACCTCAACAATTTACACAGAGAACAGTGAAGTGGCTAGTGGGCTGGTGAGTTCAAACTTTCAACCTTCCCATTAGCACTCAGGAGCTTAAACACTGCAACACTAGGGCACCTCCTCAGGAAATAGGAATAAGATAGCCTTACAGTTAGGCCTCACTTTCTGAAAAATCAACAAACATTCTGATGTTGTTATAATGGATCATAACATCAAGCCTGCACCTGTTTTACTCTTTTCAAATTAAAATATAAGTAAATCAAGGAACAGCTGCCTACCTTCCAAGCTTTCTTGTTCATCAGATGTATAAGCGTCCATCTGACTTTGTTCTCGTAAAAAACGAATAACTGCAAAAACGAGGTGCTTGATAGATGACATTTTAGAAGTTCAAACACGTTTTCCTGGTAAGAAGGACAAAAATACTGATCTAAATTATCTTGAACAATCAATCTAAAGGGCTATGCATTCCTGAGGTTATAAATAACAAAGATTATTAATTATTTGAAAAGTTAAAAGCAAAACTCCTTGCATTATCTTCTCTTCCTTTAAAGACCCAAGAGAGCACAAAGTATTGATATTTTCATTTATACACAGTAGTATTAGATTCTTGTCTTGTATAAGTGAATGGCTTATCAAAATATATACAATATAAGCTCTCAATAAGCACTTCACTGTATCTCAACAATTTACACAGCAAACGTAAAGATATACACGGTGGTATCCCCAAAAGGCCTCAAGACTAACTTAAGGGAGAATTCAGACTGCTGACTCAGAAGCTGATCCCTACTTGGTATTTTCCACTATTTCCTGGTATTTTCAAACAATGTACGCCTAATTTAAACTCCATTTGCTTTGGAAGGCTGAGAGCGTTATTTGATGGGAAAGACATATTAACAAAAGATTGCTCATTTGTTGACTGTCCGTCACCCTTAATAAAAATGGCATTCCTATTTCATCAACAGCCATGTCACCAAATCATTGACTAAGTCAATGGATATTACCAACCCAAGCTGATCAGTGCTTTCGGCGGCAGCTGTGCTCTCGGACGAGCTGGAAGCTCTGATCATGTTCATCCACATGGAATACTATCGCATCCAAACAGTGGCGCAGGGCCAGCCGGCATTAATGGCTCTTTTCCACGAAATCGCATCACCCATCTTCTCCTAGGGTTCCTTATTTCAAAGGCAGGGTGTGGTACCCGCCGCTAGGATGTTTATTATTTGTGTACTTATTTTAAAAGCAAATCAAGACTCTAGGCCGTGGGGTTGCAAGTGCTGAAAAAAGGCCCCAAGGCAGAAGGAGAAAAAAGAATGTGGGAAAGAGGGTGCAGAAAGGAAAAAAGAGATACCCAATCTCCTCCAGACTTCTCTCCCTAGAGCACAGCGACCTCCCTCTTTCTCCCTTAAGGACTACAGCTGCGCCTAGGCCTCAATTGTTTGCAGCAGGTTTACCACGCAGGCCTTTGGCTAGGGATGCAGGAGACGCACCCATCCCGGGAAGTAGCCCCTTACCAGCAAAAGGCTCCAAGACAGACGCGGGCAGCTGTTTCGCAGGCGTCAGTAGGCAGGTCCGCCCGCCCCCTCGTTCTCAGGGTTTGAGTCTGGCCTCCGAGCTGCAAAGCAGGTAACAGTCGCCCAAACTTCCTCAGTACGCTAGCCGCTACCGCCACCCCCTCAGTCCACCCTGAGGTGCGCTTAGGTCTGGAACCCTGGGTTTCTCCAGGACCGCCTCTGGGCGGTGTCGGGCGTGCTTGGGGGGCGGGGCTATGGGCAGGACGGGGCGGGTTGCGGGGCGGGATTGGACTGTAGGTGGGGCGGAGTGGGGCGGGATTAGGAGGAACGTGAGGAGGGGAAGTGGGCGAGGCGAGACGTGGGGCGGGACTTGCCGCGGGGGCGGGACTTCAGCGGCCCGGGCGTGGACTGTCGCACGTGGGAGGGCTCAGGCTGTGCCGGCTGCAGTCACAGTGTTGGCCGCCGCTATCTCGTCCTTGCCTAGGCCGCCTTGCCGCTTCCTAGCACCGCAGTTCTGCCTCCCTCCTTCTCCTCTCACACATCGAAGGACCACACGCCCGCCACTGCTGGCCTCTTGGCGCTCCCATGATCGCCCGATGCCTTTCGGCTGTGCGAGGCCTCCACAGGTACCTTCCGTGTGTGGGTTAACCTTGACCATGGGCAGGGCGGGGCCTTTTGCCAGGACTGTCCTGGTCCAGCCTTTCCCGACCACACTCCTGGCACGTTCTGGTACCCTTCCTCCCCGCGGCCTGCATGATCGACCCTTGCAGGACACCTGGAGCGGGAAGCTAGGGCCACCTTTCCCTCTCCACTCCCTGGGGAGAGCATCCATTCCTCTTTGTTTGGGTTGACCACAACCGCAGTGAGTTCAACTGGTCTCGGACCCAGGCCAAAATGAATGTAGGAATACAGTGAGGATACAAAAAAGCGTTTGACTTTTGACCCTGACCAGAGCCGCAGACCTCTCTCCTTAAAAGTGTCTCAAGCTGTAGAATTAGATATATCAAATCTTATACATCATTAGCATACCAGTCACAAGAGACCAAACCGCTTTGGTTTTGCTGCTTGTTTCCACCATGCTTTCCGATTTTATTTTTATTATTGTGTTCTAAAAAGAACAGTCTGGCTCTTGCAAGGACAAATTGACTTGGCTCAAATCTAAAAAATAAAAATCTGTATTGCCTGGACACACACAATTTGGGGTATCCTCAGCTGCTGTCTTGGACGGTTTCATAGCTCCCCAACCACACCCCTCTACAGTAGACCGGTGAAAAGATGCTGAGAGAATTAAATTCTTTGTATGGATGCGCTTGATGTAGAGGTTTTAAGAAACAATGCCTACCACCACCTCCACTCCCAAATTCAATCCTGAACTGTAAATCCAAATGAAGATCCAAAAGAAATTAGTGTACTTTGTAAGATATCCATGAAACTAATTTAGAACATACTAGCATTTAAGTTTTTTACACATTGCCGTTGATCTTGTATGAAGCTTTTGTGTTGCACAGCCTTTGTAATCATGATGCATCCAGGGATTGGAGAATTAATGTCATGATTTTGAATGTATTTCAGAGTGTTCTTTTATACTGGTGGTCTGTGTATTTGGCCTGCTGTTAAATTAGTCGATGCTAACAACTTAAAATCTTCACATACTGCAGATGTGAGAAGATACTATTCCTTCATTTAAAGGAGCAATTCTTAAAATTTCTAAGTCTGAAGTCCTTTTTACCTAAAAGTTACTGTGGACCTATGAATTTCTGTTAGTGTGGGTTATTTCTATTCATATTTACCATGTGGTTGTTATGTAACTCTTAGGGACCAGTTTTGAAGCCTGCCCTGTCTTGAGCCAGTCTTTCCAACTCCGACATACCTACCCCTATTACCCCAGTTACTATGTCATTTAATCTTATGTGAGGTCTTCCTTTCCTGCGCTGTCCCTCAACCCTTCCAAGGATGATGTCCTTCTCCATGGACTGGTCCCTTCTTGCCACGGGCCCAAAGTATATGAGGCGGAGCTTCAAAATTCTTGCCTCCAAGGAGAAACTTGGTTTCAGCCTCTCCAAGACAGACCAGTTTGTTTTCTTGGCAGTCCATGGTGTGTTCAAGACTCTTCTCCTCAAATTAAAACTGGGGAGTTTTTTTCTAATGTTTCTTAGTCTCTTTAAAAAACAAACAAAAAGAAAACAAACACACACATTGTATATGTTAAAGATGATTTTTTAAAACAACAACAACCAAAAAACCAAACAACCCAACAAGTGTTTTTCATCCTACCCCAAGTCCCAGGCCTCCTGCTAACCAAAAGGCGGTACCTCTCTCGCAGTTTAAATTCTCCAGTGCTCCACAGAAGAAAAATAGTCTCCATTCCTGCAATTTATAGCTTTCAAAACCCACTATAGGGTCTGTAATGAATAATTTCCAGCTGTACTGCAGTAAGTGACCCCACAACCCATGAGAAAAATGCTATTTATTAGCCTTTTGAAAAAGTAATGAGTGATTTTATAAAAGATAGCTAGATTTTTATTCTAATGTGTTAACACTCGCTTGCTTTGGTTTAATGAAATTAAGAAACTAACTATATTCTGTTAAGTAGTTGAAAAATAGCTTTGTTTAGAAAATAATAAATAGTATTTGATACCGAAGACAAATTACTTGCTGTTGAGTCCATTCTGACTTGTGCTGTTATTGCCGTTTTTGAGTGTTGTTAGGAGGAACTGACTCATAGCTGATGTTCCAGCACATTTTCAGAGGAATGAGAGGAGATTGCTCATCTGCTCCTATGGAACAGCTGGTGGATTCAAACCACATGCCTTTGGGATTACAGTGCAGCTTCTTACCACTAGGCCACTATAGATCCTTCATGTTACGTGCTGTTTAGTAGACTAAACTCATAGCCTTACTATGAAAAATAGTTCTAATCCCTGCCTTATCTTGAGCCAGTCTCACTGTCTCTGACTTGCGTGGCCCCATTGCCACATTTTGTCAATTCATTTCATCCAGGGTCTCCTCCTCTGCTGTGACCCTCCACCCTTCCAAGCATGATGTACTTCTCCAGAAACTAGTCCCTCCTGGCAACATGCTAAAAGTATGTAAGCTAGAGCTTTAAAGTGCATGCCTCCAAGGAGCAACCTGGTTTCACCCTCTCCTGGACAGACCTGTTTGTTCCCATGGTAGTCCATGGTATGTTCAGTACTCTTCTCCAGCATCACAACTCAAAGGCATAGTTTCTCCTGTAATTCAGCTCTTTGATGCATAGCAAGTAATTGCCAAGAGCATGGCCTGCGTCAGGCTCACCTTAGTCTATAAACTGACATCATTGCTCTTCAGCACTCTGGGGAGGTCCCTAGCAGCAGATTTTTCTACCCCCCCCTTTTTTTTATTTTCTACTAGTTTATTTACAAAATTTGAATACATTGTTTTCAAGAACAAATTCTTTCCATTTCCCTAACCCCCAACCTATCAAATTGTTCAACCTGATGCTTAATCCCCCCTCCCCCTGCACATCCTCATCCCTCTGCTTCCAACCTCTCGCACTCCTCTTGGATCCTTATACTCATTCTAATGATGGTTTTATACAATATGTATCCTTGTGGGACTGACTGAGTTCACTCAGCATAATGCTTTCCAGTCCCTCCCAAATTAGGTAATAACTTAAAAAATCATTGTTCCTGCATGCTGCGTAGTATTCCATTGTGTGAATGTACCATAACTTCTCAGTCCATTTGTTTGTGGGTAGACATCTGAGCTGTTTCCATGTTCTTGTGATGGTAAATAATGCTGCTATCAACATTGGTGTACAAATCTTAGTTTGTGCCCCAGTTCTCATTTTCTCAGGGTATATTCCAAGTGGTGGAGTAGCTGGGTCATGGGGAATTTCTATGTTCAGCTTTTTGAGGAAGTGCC